AGAATTGCGATATTGACCGAAAGGGGCCCTGGGTCTAATTTGGGATTTTTTGGAACACGTGCAAGTACCAATAGTGCGTTTCAGGTCCCCGGAAAAAATTCAGAAAAAATTAGGGACAGCCTGTAGGCGCACTGTGAAGCCGTGTTCGGACCCCGAAACGTGTAAGGACCCCTCACCCTATTTTCTATCACGGTATTAAAGTTCAATAATGATAAAACGGTATTTCTTGAATCAACGAATGTGAAATTGCTTAAGGTCGCTAATGGAGCCCGAGTCTAGTATGTTTGTCGGTTAACTGTTATTTGGCCTATTTTACAGTTTTAAATGCAGTATGAGGTCTGATGTTTTCATTTCATAGTTTCATGTGCATATTTTACTGTTTTATTGATTATGGATTGAATGACTGAGTAACCGATGCTGTATGTTGTCTTGTTTGGCATAAATTACTGTTTTACTTGTTTGTGTGTGAATTAATGATGCTGACTGAGGAAAAAGAGAATGAAAGGTTATGTAAATTGATAATCGTATAATGTGATCAGCCTGACTAGATATCTTGGGAGATGGTGGACGGACCGGGTCCGTATGGAACCCTACCGGGATTGTAGTCTCTCATACCAGATGGGGTATGAAGACCTTATGTGTTTTGGCGCCCATACCGGACGAGGTATGGGGACGGCCCGTTTCACCCTCATACCGGACGGGGTATTGAGGTTTATAGTTTTGGCGCCCATACCGGACGAGGTATGGGGACAGCCCTGGAATCAGGTTGTAAATGTTAAAGGTTCACGGGTAGCGGACCCCTATGGATCCCCACGTATACTAGTAGGCTGGTAAAAGAGGAAAAATATGTTGTGTAATGATTGAATTACAAAAGGCGTGATAAGTATTATGTTATACAGTTTATATGATTTCATGATGATGATAATGTTATTGCTTTCGTATATTGTTTTATGAATTTCACGAGGTAAGTGGATGGTAAAGGTTTTATTATTGATAAAAGGATTTGTTGTAAATTATGCTCCATTGGTCTTTTTGTGTTTTCTACCCACCTTTACTTCCGTGACGGTGAGATATCGTGATGTCTTTACTGGGCTAGTGTAGCTCATTCCTTATTTAATCATTTCAGATCATGAAGACATTGTTCCCGAGTCCGTTCCGC